TAAATATATATATATATATATATATATATATTAAGATATTAAAAATAAAGCTTACAAAAAATTATAATTCTATCTGAATATATTGTATTTTGTTAGCAATATATATATAGGGCTAACACTGACAAAAGGATCATCCTTTTAGTGTATTTTATATAAACACAACAGTAAGGTAAATCACATAAACAAAACTATTTCAATAAAAGTCAAGCAAGTCTTCTTTCCCTCAGTTGAGAATTTGTATAACAGTTAATAAAATAAAATTACATGGTAGAACATAAGATACAATTATTTAATATCACAGTTGTAGTCAAACAAAATACAGTTAGTGCTGCCAATAAGACCTAATTATGTAACATTCAGAAATACATGATGAAATGTGATTATTATTATTATTATGTCCTATTAAAAAAAGTTTTTTAACTAACAAGGTATTTAATCTAATGAACAAAAATTCTGCTCTACACAGCATCCAAATACTTGTAGTCCTTGAAAATCTTGAAGTCACAACAAGACTAGACAATAGAAGCAGATACTTGTACTGATGGTAAATTAATCAAAACAAGTTTTACAAGTTTTATGGGGAAATACAGACATGTACTTCCTGTTATGATGGCCTACTACAGGGGTACACAGTTTTATCAATCTCAAACACAGGTATGTTATCTCATTACAATCAAAATGTCAAGGTATTTTTTAAAGGACTAAGGTGTCTTTTCTTGGTGTATGAATCATTCTTTTCTGTATTTTTTTGTGGAGAGTACTTTTTTTTTTACCATTGTTTGAACCACACAAGTAACCTTCAACTATTATCAAGTCTTTTGAATATATACAATACATTTTGATGGGCAACATGCATTATACATACAGCTACCACAGGAATTTATTTATAAATTTCTAAGCTTCAGGCTATTAACATAATCAGATAATTCAACTGATAACAATATAGTGAATAGAGAATGGTGTTCAGTGGCATCATCAGATAATTCATCTGCTAACAATATAGTGAATAGAGAATGTAGTTCAGTGGCATCATCAGATAATTCAACCAATAACAATATAGTGAATAGAGAATGGTATTCAGTGGCATAATCAGATAATTCAACCGATAACAATATAGTGAATAGAGAATGGTGTTCAGTGGCATCATCAGATAATTCAACTGATAACAATACAGTGAATAGAGAATGGTGTTCAGTGGTATAATCAGATAATTCAACTGATAACAATATGGTGAATAGAGAATGTGGTTCAGTGGCATCATCAGATAATTCAACTGATA